GTTCCCTAACCCTACTTAAGACAAAATGGAGCAATTTATAGACGTCAGTGAATTGTCAGATCAGGGAACCAGACTAGCTGGCTTGCACCCGTTCACGGATGTGTAACGGATTGCAAACAAAATGTGGACAAACTAAATTTTGTAAATTGGGGGCAGTGTTTGGGGGGAAAAAGGTCAGTTTTTTCCAACGATGGTCGGCTGACCATCGTTGGAAATTGATATAAAAATTCAAATTTCCTTGAAAATGACAGCACGGTAGGTGCCATGATATCACATGATGCTTGAGACTAGTCACTTACTGTCAAGTGGTAAGTTATTTCATAATACTTTGGTAGTTTTGTTTTGTGATGTTTGCAAATGTTGTACATTACCTTGAAAATAAAATTTTGAAGAGTGGGTGGGTACCGGTAGGCCTACACCACTTTATGGGGACGATTTTTATTGTTGGGCAAATTATAACCGAGTTATGGGGACTTTCTGCTGTCCCCACAGTGTTTTCAGTCCCCACAAACACCTCATGGAGACGAGTGTAGTATGTACAATGTATGTCCCCACAACTAGGGAACAAGAATTCATGTACGTATATGTGTGAGTGTGTGGGGACGGGGGAGGGGGGGGGGGGGCTTTTTCATAGGGAATTCATTTACCCAAATGTCCCACGCTGCAGGTTAACGACAGAATGTAACAGCATTTAATCAAATTCCACTAGCTACCAGCTGATCCCAAATAGGAAAAGCGGGGAAAGTGGGAATTGCTGTTGCAGCTTTTCATTGGCTTCGTGTTAGCATGCAGCTCCGTCGCCTTTTCCGAAGTTGGACCGTCCGTACCGGGGTAATTTGGCAGTTGGACAAGCGTCCAGGGTTTGAGGCAACAGCTTGGGAATGGGGCTGTTGGCCCAGCTGCGAAATTGGGCAGAGGTTTACATCGCAGAGCTGCATTGGTACGTTGTAAATGCCAGCAGGTGAAGTTATGTGTAAAAAAAAACTGCTCGGACGAAATGACCAAGCAGTTTCAATTATGAGCTGCCACATGCACTAAGAATGATCTTTCAGTTCAAAATTTCTTCAGGACAAAGTTAAATGTCAGTGAATGTCTGATGCCCAACTATCAATTTCACCTCTGAAATACACGTTACTATAGCTTCGGTCAATCCCATTAACAGAAAAAAACTTTAATATAATGAATAGGTTTAATTTCAATCATGAAAAAATTGGTTACATTATAAAAATACACATTTCAACTTTACACATGTTGATGTAAATAATCATGAATAGCAATAATAAAAAGATTTTAAATCCATGTACATGTACCTGCCCCAATCCTCTATCAAAACTTTTAAATCAGATTTATTTTTTTTAATACTGCAACCTGTTGCACCATTTCAACATTACATGCAATTAATAAATTTTCTTCCCAATCTAAAACCATGACAAGCCAAACATTGCAACTTCACCACGAAACCACAAGCCCACCGCAGGTCATCACCACAAAATCCTTAGCCTCACAAACGATCAGAGTTAATAACCACGACGTGATTGGATAAGAGGAAGGAGAACCGTACCATCTAGGACACCATCCTCATCGTAAGCTGGTCAATGCTCTCAGTTTTCCATAATAACCCCGGACATTCTAGTAGAATTGGGCCAACTCATCGCACTGAATCACCGTCAAAATCAATCGTGTCCCCTGATCAACAGATGGGCTTGTTTCATACTGTATTAGTCTAAGGCCTTGTCCAAAACTATATTCCAATATACATGTAGTTGTAATTGACAAAGACCTAGACAGTGGCTCTAGACAAGAGATTCTGATGCATCCTAACCTAATGCTATTACATACATACTGTACCGGTACATGCACATGTATACACATTTTTTGTGAGCACATTATACACTGTTGTCTCAATGTGTTCCTGACAAGTCTGGGTACACGTACAAGTACAACATTAGGGTTGAGCCATTTTCAATCAATTCAACAGTCTAATACACAAATTTCCATGTGATCAAATATTCAAAGCAAAAGGATGGAGAATATCTGATCAACATAGAAATAACAAAAGCAATCACCTTTATACACAGCCTTGACGCCAGTAGCAAGCAATGATTTCACCCAAGGATCAACAAGTAAAATGAAGACAAATTATTCACCAATCAAAAAAATTGGTCTTCTCTCTTTCTCTCACTGCATTTCGTTTTCAAATATTCCAATCAAGCAAAAACAAATTAGATATTCCATGATCAAGAAAATATTAGAATAATTGGCACAGCTTGAGCATGAAGCACTTTTTAAACAATACTTGACTCGCACTTTTCTGACACACATCAAAATTTCCTTCTCAGGGTAACAGTGCAAGACAAAAGTACATCCTCAAGAAAGCCAGTATGCTTAAAGGAATACATGACAATGCATACATTTGTACGAGTACTGTAACAGGTCACACTATTTGAAACAACTGCCACTGCATGAGAAATACATTATAGGAGCATGGTGTGAAGAGGTAAAAGAGTAGGTGTGTGCTATTTTTTTTTTATTCCCGACGCGTAATGGAACAGTGAAGATCGATGTGGCAGTCAGACGTGCAGTATCGCGTCCGAGCCCTGCAAAAGATCCAAATCTTCAAATCTATTGAGGACAATTATGCTAATGGAAACGTAAATTCCTGTGCTTACAAACTGGGTGGCCCAATTTAGGAATGATGTTTAATTGTACATGCTTCCATGTACATTTATCATAAGATATTTGTCTATTTGATACTTTTGTCTGAAATGCATTTTTAAACAAACAAACAAACAAACCAAATGATAATTTTGGCATTATACATCCTGTATCAACATGTACATCAAGTAAGCAGGGAATTTGATTTAAAATTGCCGGAATTTTGTTTTCTGTGACGATGACATTAAGCCTATGTGAACATATTGGTCATTCTATACATTTAGGGTCCAAAGTGTGACTTTTTCTCTGTCCCTGTTACATGTACCTTGGTACTTTGTAATTTGCCATTCAAGTACCGGAATGACTCAAACAAATTTGTATTTGTTGGGTAGGTAGTTTGCTATTCATAATCACTCTTGGAGGATGACTGCATTAAGGAGTGCATCAGAATTATGAAATCAAAGATGTCAGATTTATTCAACAGGGACAGGAGAACAAAAGTATCCCCAATCTTATACAATGTACTATAGAATGATGTATGCAAAGAATGCATGATAGGCGATTTAGGCCTTACTAGATACAATGTTAGCCTCTTTTGAATTTTTCAATCAATAACGACGGCCCAATCTTACATGCACCGGTATGTACATGTAGAATGCACTTCAGCATTTTATAAATCTTTATCTTCTCAGACTGTGACCAGACCATCCCACGCATGCAACCAAGTGTCGAGGGGTGTGCCGTCCAGCATGCCCAGGTAATTTATCTCACACAGGTTTGTCTGCATTCCCCGGGACACACGATCGGCAATTTCAGGAATAAATTGCCGCCTCCGTGTTTCTCAGCGGAGGCTCTTAAACTGCACGCTGAGAGTGCAGAAATATGTGAGACGGCCTTTTTTCTTAATGCCATCGTCATTCGTCATGACCTATCATGAAATCCCAATCTTTTTCATCCTTTTTTTCAGGGCAGTCCCTTATATGGATGCTATCTCAGTCTGGAATCTTTAGTTTTGGTTTCTGTCATCATCCAAAATTGGAAGTCTGTCTTTACCAATGCATCGGTAGTTTTTTTGTTTATTTTATTATTGTTTGGGGGAGCATTGCTTCAGATGACAATCGCTATATGATGACAGAGCGTAGGCATCAGTCAAGACACACAGAAGTACCAGCAACTTGTAGTTAATGTTTAAATTATTTTTTTAAGATGAGACAAAAAAGAACAGAGAAAGAATTCTTTTTCCCGTTATTTGATCAGACAATCTTTACTTCAGATAACTAAAAATGTCTGATTTCTCTGCAGGGACTGTCAAGCTGAGGAAAACTTCAGCATAATCTACATGTATGGGCTCCGTGCACAAGTACACATGTACCCCTTTACCGTTAAGAAAAGGATAGTTCGGGGGAGACCACTTGGCGAGACATTTGAACGCATTGCTGACGATGCCTGATGCTCACACGAAGACATTATGGCCTTGTGTACCGTACACATTCAGATTAAAGTACGTCGTGCATATTGTGCACGATACGAACCAGTACGAGGCCAACCCAGAACAGACTGGACAACGGCCTTAAAACCGACATGATGATGATGATACGCACACGTGAAGTGTTCCGTCAATGGGGCCCTCGAAATGGGGTAAAAAAGCGCCCTCTCTTGTTTGCACACAGAGCCCATATGTGCGGTCTTGTTTAAAAAGTGATGCAAGTAGGTTGCCATGGACATTATGACACAAGTACCGGTATGCTCCAGTAATGGACCAGTATACGGTACTTGTACATACATTTTGTAAACTGGCCATTCTAACTGAAAGGCCGAAGTAACATCAGGTAAGGTTAAGTAGAATATTTTATAGGCTAAGACGTCTGCACTAGTAAGCAGGGGTCCTGTACTCCAGTCCAACCCAAACTCTTCTCTGAGGGGTTATTTCTCACAACCCTGCAGGGCCCAATTTCACGGCGCTGCTAAGCACAAACATTTGCTTAGCACAAAAAAGTCTGGCTTGTAAAAGCAGGTTATCAGCCAAAACTCCATGTGATTTTCATGCTATAAAGCAAACAACAGCTGAATACTAATCACAAGCAATATATCACGTGGAGTTTTGGCTGGTAACTGCTTTTACTATAAGCCAGACTGTTTTTGTGCTAAGCAAATTTTTGTGCTTAGCAGCGCAGTGAAATTGGCCCCTGATGGCATGATGTATAAATTGCCAATTACATGTGTACATCTGCAAAAAAAGGCACGGCACAATCATTCAGACATCCACAAATGCCAAAGTCTGTCAAAGATCAAGATTGTATTATAGTCTGTGAGTTTTGTCGTTTGATAATGAACGCAAGACTCACCAAATGATTGCCTGTCCGCGGCTGAGGCCTCCCAGTTGCCGGTAATAGAAGATGATCTTCTCCTCGCAGTAAGGCAGTGATGGGTGCTCCCTGAGTGTGCTGTGAGGTAGTACGGGGAGTGTCTTGAGGTCGTTCCGTGTCTTGGAGTCACTGCAGATGAGGTGGGGGGGGGGGGGTTGTTAACGGGAAGCAGAAAAGATAAATTACGTTGATTACGTTGGAGACTGGAAAGGGCAGATGACAATTACCTGTCCCTGCTCAGTTATTAATCTTAATTGATTCATTCTCTGATTCCGATGTTAAAGTGATAATTTAGTAAAGTGATAATTTAGTAAGGGGATAATTGAGTCACCTGGCAAACTATTACGGACATGGGCAAATACCAGTGATTTATGAAAGGAAGTGAGATGTTTGTAATACAGGCATGCAACTGGGAATTTAGAAAAAACAAGGAAACTCCAAACCACAAAAGACTTTGTACAGTGTTTTTCAATTGGTAATGGCCTTCCTGCAAAGTGAAAAAACGAGGAAATCAGCGGATCTGAGAAAAAGTTGCATACCTGGTAATAGAGCCTATTAACCATTACATCTTATGAATGATTCAGAGAAATGCCCCAAAACTCCTGGACTGTAATCTCCTCGACCATTGCTATACGGTAGATGATGGATACAAAATTTGAAAAAATTCATTTTTAGGTTTATTCACTGAGCTCTTAAAAGCTCTTTCACAGACATGGCTTAATGCTGGAATGGCCCACGTGTAGGATTCATATGAGCACAGTAATGTGGCTGCTTGTCAAAATCATTCACTGACCAATCAAGTCACGTGCACTGCCTAGTGCACTAAATCGCTGTACAGAGAGTACAGGTACCGGGTACATTGTCAAATACTGAACTGGTGCAAACTGCTGTTCAATGCATGTGACCAGGTACCAGGTACATGTATACGTGTATGTAAATTGAAAGGGGCCTGAGATTTTCATCAAAGAAGAATGAAATATTCAACGGTGAAAAAAATGTGTGCGGTGTGGTGTCATGTATATTATAAGTTATCCCGCGAGCGCGAGAGGAACACGGAATAATGTAGTGCATCTGTGTCCCACATACCACGAGGCCGAAGGCCGAGTGGTAAGTGGGACACAGACGCACTAAATTTTCCATGTTCCATGTGCGCAAGTGTGATAACGAATTTATCTTCAAGCAAACTTGACGCGCAGTAGCACGCTTTACATGAACATTTCAACAGTTTCAGCGCATGCAGCTGGAATGTCGCTCGCATCTTGGAATAGCGCAATACGCAGGGTGCGATATGGACCGTGCAATGCAGCCTCATCTTGTTGCCATGGATCGACCAATCAGAATCAAGGATACGACTTTACTTGAAGATAACATTTTAAACCGGTACCATATTAACCCTAACTCCCTAGTGTCTTTTACTAAACTTGTACTGGACCAAGTCCGCCAAAGTCCATCATTGACCCTGCTTCACATAATGCTTCAGGACCAATTCTTCTGAAATCCACCACAAGACTACCACTACTATAGGTGGATTTTGATGGACTCGGTACTCATGGCTTGCCTACCAAAATCCCCAAAATTGGTGAGGGTTAATGTGCACATTTACAATGTATGATAAGTATGTCACAATGCAACCAATGCAAACTAATTTTTAAGTTGTGGAAAAATCTTCAGTTCCCATTGTATGTTTATGACATCAATTTTTCCCCCTTTCACACTGGTAATAACAGGCATTGTGCATGGACAAATGTTACACGCACATTAAATCCTCCCATTGTTTGATCAGTCATGGTAGACAGTCAAAAATTACTTCCACTTCCCCTGCTATGCAATTGTATACAGTAAAAAAACCCAGTCATATCACATTCCTGTAAACATTGTGACTATGTAAATTCCGTCAACAGACAAAAAAAGAAACTGGTACCGGTAGGTACAGCATGGCTATATCAAATAAACAAGGGAACTCTTTAACAGTTAAAATAAGTCACTTGATTGATTTTGACTGCTGTGATGACGTAGCAGAATTTGTAAACCAAAAGAGAGGGGATTTTAAGAGTACTAATACAAAATCATTGTTAAAAATGTTGACCTTGAACTCTTAACTGTTAAAAAAGTCACTTGATTGATTTTGACTGCTGTGATGGCGTAGCAGAATTTTTCAACCACAGAGGAGGGATTTTAAGATTAGTAATGCACAATCATTGTTAAAAATGTTGACATCATGACATTTGCTGCACCTTCACACTTGTGTTGCATGAACCGGCCTTCAAGCAGTATTCTCCGAGCCAAGTTAAAAAAAAGGCAATTGATGGATTTTGACTGCTGTGATGGCGTAGCTGAATTTGTCAACCAGAGAAGGGGGTATTTTAAGCGTAGTAATGCAAAATCATTGTTAAAATTGTTGAACTCATGAAATTTGTTGCACCCTCACACTTGTGTTGCATGAACCGGCCTTCAAGCAGTATTCTCCGAGCCAAGTAAAAAAAAAAGGCGATTGATTGATTTTGACTGCTGTGATGGCGTAGCAGAATTTGTCAACCAGAGAAGGGGGTATTTTAAGCGTAGTAATGCAAAATCATTGTTGAAATTGTTGAACTCATGAAATTTGCTGCACCCTCACACTTGTGTTGCATGAACCGGCCTTCAAGCAATATTCTCTCTGCCAAGTTTCTCCACACAGGATGATGTTGGCAATGTCCGGTATCTGGGTCTGGTCTGCTGCCAAGTCCTAATTAAATCATTGTGACATCTCTCTTTGGTTGCAGGGGAAACACATGGAGACAATCCTGTACCATGTACCCGGTACATCCAGAACGTCCTCATTACCGCACAGCTTTGTAGCATCGTTAACATTTCAAAATGCCATCTTGAATGGATCTCCAATAAACTTCACGCACAGTGTATGCTCTGTTGTCAGTAGTCATGATCGAATACTTGGTGGAGAGTCAGTCACAAATGAATCCATGTAGACAAATATCTGGATAGCTCATCGGTTGTTTGAAATGAGGTCGCCGTCTGCCGTATCACCACTCCGATTACATTGTAAAGACATTAATCATTGCAGTAATTGACGTGTTTACCCGTTTTTATTGAAAGCACTTTTTTAATTTAATGCTTTTTTGTATTACAAAAATGTCCTCCTAAGTATAATGTTCTTTGTATACATATCGTGCACGCAATGATTCTATTTCATTGGTATGCAATGGGCGTGGTAAAGACTGGTTTCTGGCAAAACATTTGAATTGTAGAGGGGGGGGGGGGGACGGGTAGTCTATGATATGTGAGCAGATTCGCTGATTAATTACATGTAGGCAAGACCCCGCCTCTTGACCTCCTAGATTTTGACCAATCAGCGGGCGCTTTCTATATCGGGTCTTCGGTCACTCACCCGCCTTGCAAATGTTTTAAACTTTTGTGTACGAGCAAAAATAGTTTCCATACAAGTTATTCCAACATGTACGTACATGTACATCAAATCCCCCATAACAATACAAAGTGCAAAAGCGACAATGTCATATCAGCCTCAATCTAAAAAAAAATCTCCATCGTGAGATCCATAATCCAAACTACATGCAGCCAGACGGCATCCCCTAAATCCAGTCACTCCTCTTGGGAGGTCTCCCTTCATCTGAAGCGGATCAACAAGCTTCATGTACGGTACGCTGTAACTAGTGTAAGAGCATGGCTTCATTGAGATTACAGAGAGTCAATGACTCGAGGGCTAAGGGTACGTCATATCCTGTCTGGTGGGGGTTAGGGGGTGGGGGTTAGGGGGTTAGACAAGGGTGTAAGAGGTGCATGAATGGTCACGGGCGTCACTGGGGGGTCAAAACACCCCCCGCCCCTCTCATTAATCGTTTTCGTTAGCAAAATCGTGTCCCTGTTGGTAAATTTGCCGGTTGAAAGGTGTCACCTATTGTTCAATATGATACTCCACTTGGCACCATTATCAGGAAAAATCCCGACAAGTTGTCGGCGACAACTTTCACCCCTGACCATCAGCTGTAGACCTACATGTACTAGCGCTCTTTCTTCATTTTTTGAAATTTGCTAGCTCCCATCAATGTACGTAATTTGAATGTGAGCAGTTTCTGAACATGCTTCGTGTGCAGTACCCTGGGCTACATGTAATTTACGCAATACCAAATTGCTTACACTTTAAATGATTTCTTCCTGTATATAATTCCTGAATATTAAAGGTTGAAAACAAAAAAATCCCCAAATTAATCAATCAAATAAAAATCAACAGCAAAGCCAGCGTTTCTACAGGGCTGTAAAATATTATCAGCCCTTAAAGAAAAATGAAAGACCTTACCTTATAAAATCACCCTCTGTAGCTTGCAGTACGTAGGCGGCTAACTCAAACACGGTTTCGCTGTCTACCTCAATATCACCCTGGAGAAGAGTAAAGACAAGAGATCCGGCATTTAATAAGACAAGTCAATTTGGTTACCAATGAAGACGGATCACCGGCTATTCTTCTTGTTATGGATGTAACGCCACAATCGAAGAAAAAAAAACCAGTCGACTTCCACTTTGACTTGGTTGGATTTACTGCCCTTGTTGTCGCAGCTTCAAATTGCAAATTTTAATTGGTTACCGATGAAGACAGACTATTATTCTTGTTTTATAGACATGTAATGCCACAAGGAGGGGAAAAAACAGTTAAGTTGTGCTTGGATTTGGTTGGAATTGCTGCCTGGAACAAAATTCGTATTTGAAATTGCAAATTCAAATTTAGAAGATTGAAGTATCACGAAACTATCCTGGTGATCATCACATTTACTTAAAAAAAGTAAATTTCCGCTAGAAAAGGTCAATTTGTTTTGTTCAACTATTTTTTTTTAATGATTTATCAAGTCAACTTCATACATGTACTTCAAGGCATTTGAGTGAGCTGGGAGCAAATTTAAATCCGAACGAGATATGTCTTATTTGCTCACTGGTTTTTTTTGGTTTTTTGTATTATTAAAGTTCTGAGTATGAGCAGGATACCGTTTCCAAGTTGAAATATTGGCCCCTTCCTATATAACATACTTTTGAAAAAAAATTAGACAACAGGTCTACTTGACGGGATGCAAACAAGATGATTTAACACAGACACACAAACAAGAACGAAACTGTAGAGGTTGGCTTTTTAAAATATTTTCCTTTTTTTTTAACTCAAATAACTCAATGAAAAGTGAAAACATTATTAAAAAAAAGACAAAATGTGAGTAATTTTCCAATGATAAGTTGTTAGCAATTTATAAGATGGCATTTTTGCGTCGGGGTGATATAAATCAAATTAGGTTTTTGCCCTTCACCGACGTTTAAACACTGTATACTCAGTGTGTTACCTCCAGAGTGAAAGTTGGAAAAAATGACTCGGGTGGGACTCGAACCCACGACCTCCTGCTTTCTAGTGCAGATGTCTTACCACTCGACCACCGAGCTAACGGGATCGGTTGGCTGGTTCGAATCTGATGTACATGCCGACCGATCCCGTTAGGTCGGTGTTCGAGTGGTAAGACATCTGCACTAGAAAGCAGGAGGTCGTGGGTTCGAGTCCCACCCGAGTGATTTTTTTCCAACTTTCACTCGGGAGGTAACACACTGAGTATACAGTGTTTAAATGTCGGTGAAGGGCAAAACCTAATTTGATAAGTTGTTAGCAAGGGGACATTTTTTTTATGACTGCATACAGGGTGAGTAAAAAGAAAAAACGAAACCCAAATGGCAGGACCAATTTTTGAATGAAGTTTTGCCTGTAGCACTTTCAACATCTAGGATATGAAAGCACAATCAATGAGCTTTCTTTTAGCACAAGAATCATTCAAATCACTTATGTACTTTTCAAGTTACAAAATTTTGAACACAAACACTGTTTTTAAAGTTTTACATATGTTTTAAAATTCACATATGCATCCTTAGGAGAATTGTTTTCGTTTTGCCGAAAGAACACTTACTTTTTTTGTGATCCATGGACAGAACCTCAAAACAGTGTTTGTGTCCACAATTCCGTAACTTGAAAAGTACATGAGTGATTTGAATGATTCTTGTACTAAAGAAAGGTCATTTATTGGGCTTTCATATCCTGGATCTTGGAAGTGCTACAGGCAAAATTTTATTCAAAATTTGGTCCTACCATTTGGGTTTCGGGTTTTTTTTTTACTCACCCTGTATACCTTTAAGCTGAGATCAGGAAAAAGGACATACATTTCATATTCAAAAGAAAAAATAAAATAACAAAATCGTTACACTATCCACTGGCACACATTCCTCATTGAAACACTTGGATTCATTTCAGGAAACACCTTTCATAAACACTTGGGGAAATATCTGAAGTTGACACCAGCAAAAAAAACAACTAGTTCAGCAGCACAACAAAAAATCTGTTCCATTTCTTTGAAGCTGCGACAACAAGAGCTGCGGCAAGTCCAACAAGCGTCTCGGAGTGTCCGCCCACACAAGGAATTCATCAGGATATTTTCCTGGGAGGAGAAACTCGAGACCACAAAACATCCGCTCTGCAAAACACTCTCGTGGGCTTTTTTTTTTGGTCTTCCACTTAATAAAAAAAAACAAATCCAGGTTTGTATAGTTCAAGAATGTCCAAAAAAGGAACAGTTCATTTAAGTGTTTTGTTTTTCTTCAAGGTTTCAAAGGTGTTGTTGTCGTAGAGATTAAGAAGGTGGGCTAAGAATTGATTCAGTTTGCGGGAGATGGCGTTGGAGTGTTTTGTTCACAATCGATGGAAGGGTTTGCCTTTCGCTGAATCAGCTTTTAAAAGGTATCTCGCAAGTCAATGTTTGTTGTTTTTATTTCTGTTTTTTGTTTGTTTTGGTTTTTATTTCCGTTGACTTGTTTTATTTTGATAAAACTGAAGCAAGTTATTTGTTTTCAAGGATGTTTTTACAAAAATCTGCTGAATAGGGGGTGGATGTCATGGTGGTCATAAAATATATATATCAGGTAACAATAAATAAACGACACCAAGGATGTGGTCAACAAGAGGTACAACTTTATCAACTTGACATTACGACAGCAAGCATGTCATTTCCTTGACACAATTCCTGTGACTTTGCAAACAAAGCTAAAAAAAGTCTACTCTTTTAAATATTTCTTATCTACATACCCTTCTCCCAAGAGGTGAAGGAAACAAACAAGATTAGAATAGGAAACTCTAGAAAGAACAAATAAATGTAAGTTTTAAACAAAGCTCAAGTTCACTGTGATTAAAAATGATGTATTTGGACTTTCACACCAAAGCTTATTCCGTATTGACAGCAATGTTGTAGATCTGTAAGACGAAGTCAAGCAGAAGTGAAGTGAGGATTTTTCAAGTGAGGCTTGAGGGTTACCAAATGGCTGATGGTTTAAACCACATCCGCATATAGCACGCTGGCCATGTGGAGAGGGTGCGTTCAGGGCATTGATCAGATGTGCCTCTACTCCCCTTCAGGCTTCCCCATTCTTTCCCCCTCCCGTTTCCCCCTTTTTGGTTAACGCCCCCACCTTGCTACGCCACTGAAGTCGAGACACCAATTAAAACCAAGACTTGAAGCATCTGTCTTTAATTGACCTTATGCGTAGCAGCCATCTTAGAGGGCTTCTTTTGTAATGCACTGGTGGTTCACTTATGCATCCCAGCAAAACAAAGGGATTGCCCTCTAAGATGGATGCCACGCTTAAGGTCTACATAGACTCGTACTCCAAGTTACAGAACAAAACATGGACTTGTGATGGACTTGACTACAACACAGGTTTAATGTTACAAGACAATATAATAATAATAACAATATCGGAGTTTTATATAGCGCACGTATCTACCAACAATTAGGTACTCAAGGCGCTGGAGATATGTCTATTATTAAAGAAAGGTAAATCAAGTTTATGAGAAATATGAGACCCATTATGTAGCACCTTATAATGGTTTACAAGATGCTGTGGCGCATATTGCAGCCACTGCCAGAAACACCAGGGCAAACCCCTTCTCTTAGCAATAAGTGTTACTGGGTTCTTTAATGTGCATTACCCAACACACTGGATCTACGGCTTTAACGTCCCATCCGAAGGACGAAGCAATAATGGTAAAGTGCCTTGCTCAAGAGCACAAGTACCATGTTCCCACGGTCAGGATTCGAACCCATGTACCACGGCACACAAGTAAAACACCGTAACCACTGGACCACAGCACCCCACTGGACCACAACGCCGTAACCATGGTAACCACTGGACAACAGCACCACTGGACCACAGCACCCCACAATGCATTGGAAATAAAAAAAATTTAAATTGGGTTACGAATTTTCTAAAATTAGATTATACACGGTAAAACCCTTCCATGATTATTTTCAGCCTCTGATTAGCAGCTGAAATTATAGGAATAGGGTGCAATTATTGGATAAAAATGTTGTATCATTGTTACCACCAACACGGTTATTGCCCCAGTTGCTTCTGAATAAACAAGTCTTTCTATTCCTCACCAGGCTGCCTGCTGCGCTTGGGTTCTGTTCTTTTGTGCTTGAGCTGGGGTTTATTGATTTCCCAAGGTTTGAACTAACACTGGTATTAAGCTACCAGTAGCGAACTGCAATCTGCTATTTTTTCGGGGGGGGGGGGGGGGATGGGCATGTTTCCAACATAAGATATACTCTAGTTCCCATCAGAGGCAGGTATGGTAAATTTTCATTTATTGGAAATCTATTATGAGTACATGTCACCAACTGTCGACATTTGTGGACGAAACCACTTTTATGCAGTCGTTATTTTCAAGAAATCCAAAGTTTTCTCTGAAACCTTTCATTTGTTTTACTTTGTTGTTTGCTTCATTTGATAGAAAAAAAACTATTCCCCTTATAATATCTAGTATAACAGGTACATGTAGGTTGACGAAATTCCTAAAACAAGATGTTCAATGGGTATAAAAACAACTGGCCAAAAGGGAAGTTGTTTGTAACAAATCTTGAACAATAAGTGGGAAGCAAAAATTAATTTAAAGGACAACTTAGACAAACTGGGACAAGGGAAAACACTGTTCCTGTTTTTGAAACGCTACAATCTAGCTTCAGATGACCTCAGCCCGACCTTGCCTGAATAAACTCCCCCGGGATCTCGCAGCAGTCCGACTCAATTAATGCAAACCTTGCAGGGATTTGCAGCCCCAGCACAGGGAAGGCCGTTGGCCGATATCCACCTGCGCTCGGTAATTAGCACTTGTAGCTGGATGGAAGGTGGTGGGAGCAAGTCAGGTTACAAGACCCAAGAGTCTATGTTTTTTTTAGTCTGGCCCCAAGACTACGCCAGCATGTTGTGCACTATTGAGTGACCCCAGCGCGCTTGTTGTTTTCTGTGCGAATTAGTTGCTTAGTTACTCATGCCTTCATCAATCCATCAACAACAGTCCGATTGAAACCCCAGCCCCAAAAAGGAAGTGAAAATATAAAATCCTTGAAAGAATTTAAACTAGGCTTCACATACATACTTAACTGAATACATATGCATGCAGCTGCTGTTAAAATGGCAACAAGGCTAAGACCCTGTTAAAAACACTCCATCACAAACTGACAACGCAGAGATATGTAATCAAATTAAAAAGTTTACAGAAACTTTTTCATCACAACAATGAAAAACACACACAGGACTTTAGATTCCTCATCTTGTTTTCTTAAAGCTAAGCTGCCTTTCCACATGCGTTTTTTTGCGTGTCCATTGTGTACTGTACACGTTAACGGCCTAGGTCTGCCTTACATGTACTATGCAACAGACACAAAAGAAATTGAAACTTGCACACGAAAAAGCGGTTTTAGAGTACATGTTACTATAGAATACAAAGTGTGCCACGTATTCTGGCTCATGCGCATAGCTGAACTATAGCTGAAGTGTGCGAAGACATCAGCACATGAACAAGCGCACAAACCAGAACAAAGACAACTGGCGTGAGACTTCGATACTCTAAACAACCACGTATAGACATACCGGGTAAGCTTTGAGAATTCCCGACAGATATTAAATTTTCTTATTCTCACGTGCAAATCATACATTTCTAACAAACTCTTCTTTTTTTCAAAAAAAAAAACTGACAGAAAGAAAGTTTGAAGACTAATAAATTTACCAGTCCCAAAATACAAGAATTCTCCTGGAATTACTTAAAAAAACAAGCTTCAAACACTAGTTATGAGGCCATTCACGTTTCACTGCCATGGGGCATTACTACAAAATGCATGTACCGTACATACGTGTACGTGTACATTGCATCGTTAGAGTAGGATTTTGTCGCTGCTCTTTACAAAACGTTGCTTTTCTTTCCCTGAACCAGAATGTTTCCATTTGTCCCCCGGCATTTGATCAAACAACAAGAAAAATCCAGTCTCTTATTTTTTTCGCCAATATTTACTCACCAAACAATCAGGCGCAAGCAAAACATGCTCGCTTTTATTCACGGTTTCAATTGGGTTTTTTATATTCATGTTTTTAATTTCCGACAATGGATGACGAGGGCCGGAACTCTAGAGTCTGCATGTACGTGTTCCCACGTGCAAATTCAAGACAAATTTGATTTCATCAAAGTTTTACACAAACAGGAAAAGTAAACATTCATACATGTTGTTTGTTTCACACAATTGTACAGGGGTAGATTACATGAATAATTCATCAAGAACTGATGAAGACAAAACAGCCTTATGAAAACAGTCTTCAAATGCCAAATTACTGTTATATTTTACAAAGTACCATTATACAAATATTGAGTGGCTCAGCGTGGAATGGGAGGAATATTATCACAAGGTAAAATCTGGGCTTTTCCATTTCACGAGGCGAAGCCGAGTGAACTGGAAAAGTCCAGATTTAACCGAGCGATAATATTCTTCACATTTCACAATTTAAAGCCACTCAATATTTGTTTTACAACGGACATATATAGATCCTTGTCATTTAAAATATTTGAATTTTTATTTCACTACAAAATTGGTGGAAAATTTATTTCTCTCTTCCAAACAACCCGTTCACGAAAATGTTTGAACCCATCTCTGTAGCGCTGGCTCTTTGGAACAATACACGCTACGCGCAACGCTGAATGCGCACACCGGCATGCATTTGCACACAAATACCACGTCATGGAACAAGAATGATCCTAACTGTTGAATAGTATTTCCCATTCCCAATGGGCGAATGGGACTTTTTGAGCCGCGGCGTGAATGGGAGCAATAACGAATGTCACGTGATGTGATTTCCACCAATCAAATGACAAGGATCTGTTTGTCGGTTATATAATAGGGTTTTGTTCATTCTTTTCCCCTCTTCCTCCCTTCCCTTACACAGTTGTTTTTCTTTCGGTTCCAAATTTCCTGTTCCTTTTCATCAGTTTATATCCTGTATTTCTTTCTTTGTGAGTGATTTCACTTTGTGTGGCATCACTTTCACTTTAACATGGTAGTGAATCTGCAAGTTTCAATGATGTACTAATTTGTATTAATTTGTTCTCATCAATGAATGAGAATAGGGTGGTGAAAGTAGTAGTACAGTTGTACAAATGGAAGAGAAATGACACTTGCCACAGAAAAAAAGCGTCATACTTATTTGATGTTCAACCTACATGTAGTGTTGTTTCAAACTGAATCTGGTCAGTTTCACTCATTTTTTAGGATTTATGTAACAAAAGTTTCATCCTTTCTGAGCAAACCCTCAATTAATGGCATACAATGTACATGTACCGGTAGGCATTAACCCTCCTATGCAAACATACATTCTGTGCCAAGTTGTCCTTTCAAAGTCAATCAATAAAGGAACACTGGGTCATTTTCAGGAAACTTGGACCACGACTAGCGTTACGGTCATTCCTTGTCAAATCACCCCCCAAAAAATTGGAAGTTCAAACCCCACCCCCTTCAAATTGGTTCATATTTAGTACATGGGGTGATTGAGTCTGAAAAAGCTTATTTTTGGCGCCAGTTTTGGCGCCATTGGACCATCGGTTTTCGCGCTACCGCCCATCTCACGGTCATGTGATATTCAAGGTCAAAAGTAAAGGTCAAAAGGTTATTATACTTCAAACTGCTCCAACATAAAAAAAAAATGGTAAATTGTTAACCATAGTTTGACTTCCTTCACTCCAACACAGGATGGTTGGACTACTACGGCAGACAGAGATGGGATTGTGCCTTTGATGATACAAGCATGGCATTTGGCACACAGTCAGAGTATGTCATGAGAAAGATATTTGGCTATAAAGGCCATTGCAAATATCAGTAGAATAACAAGCAATTTTCAAAATGTTCAAAATGGCTGCCATTGCTTGTTATTCTACCTATACTCTGACCGTGTGCCAAATGCCATGCCTGTATCATCAAAGGCACAATTCCCCCAAATATTTCCCCTATCTGCCCCACAAGACTACTCTAGTTGACAATTGGAATAGGACCACTGGTTACCAATGATACGGGCATCATAATGCACAGCAGGGAGCCAGGAACACGACAATTTGTGATTACGTTTTGACCAGCGTTGGCACATCGCTATTAGTGCACTACATCACGATTTCAACCACTGGTCTTCTTATTGTCCTCGCCCCAATGTGCCAATAGACTCACCTTGTAGATGGAGGCCTTGGCTTGAAGATAAAACAGTTCGATGGTGATGCTGTCCCTGAGATGCGCTATACTCTCACAGAAGAACTGAACTTGAAAGTATAGGATGAGGGTTCCGGTTCTCTGCAGGAACTCGTGGTCTAGAACCTTGCGGTCAAGCTGCAGCCAATTATAGTGACCACTAAAACAAGAGGAAGATAAACATCATTATTAGATGATCTAAAAGAATTATTAAGGACCGTCTTTTTTTCTTTAATAAATCACATGGTGATATGCGAATGTCTCACAGTGCTTTGCTTGTACAGTACTTTTCAAAAGGGCCTTTCACACTGTCCAGAATCTCCCAGTTGGATCTGGGTCCAACGCGGACATTTCAGGAACACCGTTCACAATAGCAAGAAACCAACACAGATTCTACATGAGTCTGTAATCTACAACTGACTCATGCCCACGAGTGTGAATGGCATGCCTTGCCTACCCGTGCTTAATAGTACCCTGTTTACAGTGGACCAGTGTTTCAACACAGGTAGGCGAGACGATAGTCTGACAGCAGTTGTTGTGGCATAAACACTATCTCTTAACTCTCTCTGATTGCAGTTGCACTGATTACACAAAATTAAAACAATGCTCTATGACATGTAAGCTGACATAATTGGATGCCGCCTCAAGGGGGCGCCAGTTTGAGCCGAAATATCAGTTTGCTGTTGTGCATACATACAGCGTAACTGGTAAACTACTATGTTTGTAAAGAAAAATACATATTTAAGCTTTTGTTGCCAATACATTTGATCTTTGTATTGTTATTTTTTCTAGTTACTCCAACAAGTACCGGTAACTGTTATATTAAGATTTTTTTCAAAATTGGCCTCCTCCCGTCCACATGTACTCGAATTTTATCCGGTCTAAAAATATATGGCCTAGTACAAATAACCTTTACCAAGCAGGAAATGCAAGCAAAGGCTGGAGTATTTTGTCCCACTGACATCATGCAATGCACGGTGTGCTTAAAACAACACTGACTCAAGTCAGCAAACATTTCTAAGCAAATTCACACACACATACGCAATGTGCCAGCATGGCTCTAGCTTCCACGACGTGTTCAACATAGCACAGGAAAGGACCCAGCATATCCAATATTTAACGACAGTGATTGGATTGCAAGCTCTTGACATTTAACTCCAAAGCGCTGTAGTAAAACCACAGACACAGTCTATTTGTTGGATTACTGATTTGTAGGTTTTCAGAAAGATGTTTAAATGTCAAAATTCAATTAGAATTTGGTTTGATGAACACGTAGTATAGATACATTGTGTAATATGCCACATCTACATCTACATGTACGTATCGGTAGGTATATTCTTTAAAAAGCTAACTTCTTGTGCACTGTTCCTTTTACTGTGCCTCTCATTTACAATGTGCAATGCAAAACCTCTCAGACATAAGGCCAAAAAAAATAAATAAGTCGGTCTCTGGTCAGCGCGCGCGTCGATTTTAATCATGCGAGTCAACCTTTTTTTTCCCCAAAATGTTCCGCCGTAGCTCCAACAGCGCCCTCTATTGCCGCACCTCCTCAATTTTTTTTTACCAAAGAGCACCAAGGAATGGGAAATTGCACCCAAGGCAAATGATCGAGTGCACCAAGGCAAATTATGGAGGACACCAATGTACATGAGGACGCAAAAAAAAGAAAAATACAATGTACCGGTAGTACCCCACCTTGTCTGTACAATCCAAGCTTGAAAAAGAAAAAAAGCCGAGTCGCCGCATCAATTCCGGAACTTTGGCCTGACCAGAGACCGAGTATTTTTTGTTTTGGCCTAATCAATGTTTTTTTCTTACAACTGACAGTTGGAAATAATTTTTATACAAAGTATGTAATCACATATGATAACCATGTGTGATGGGACAGTGATATACATGTGAAATCTAGATGAGGCAAAACCTGTTAAATCAAAAAGCCCTTGTAACTCAAAGTAAAAATGTATTCCTGTCAATTGTTGCCGAATAGAAAATCCATTGGATAACTCAAAACTCTGCTTAACTCAAAATTTGAGCCGATTCCCCCGAGATTCGTCTTATCGAGATTCCACTGTACATGTAAAAGATTCAACATGCTAGACAAACATACAGTAATTCTGGAGTATGTACACAGGTTTTACAAAAAAGCTGCTCTTTATACTTGACGCATATTGACTCAAGATATTTTGAGATATTTTCTGGATTCTACAGAACAAGAACTCTTCTTCTATGGTATGCAATGTATAACATTTTTGGAGTACTGAGTTCAGTAACAGAAACATACACTGCCGAATAAATTCAAGTGTACAAGTACTTTCTGAGAAAATGGCATAATTTAAAAATCCTGCCGTTGTGTTACAGCGAATGAACAGTCAAGTAATATAAAGTTGGTTTTAAAGATGTTTGATTGAACAAAAACCAATTAGGGAAAGGTACATGTAAACATGGTAAACAGGACTTTACAGATTGAGGTACACCAGAAAACAAAATAATCGACCACACCTTCAAATTTTGGCTTTGTCCCATTGTACTGCAAATGTCATTTTCCAACTTTAAGCCCATTTCACGATGACAGGTTACAAATGTAAGATACACGTACACATACCGTACACACATGTACTCATGCACTGCATTAGCAAGCATCGAACACAAGATTATTTTGGCTCTCAACAGAGGGCGCCATGGCCAATCTGCAGAAAGCAATCCATCAGAAAAAACGGACTGATTTTTCAGGCAACAGAGGGCTCACTTCCAATTGAAGATGTGATCTTTTCATTCTCGATTTCATGTGGCGATTCATGCAGACATTTCTCCTTGGAAACTGTACCGTAGTTATCATATGTATACATACATGTAGATACTAGTACATTAATTGCGATCATGAATTCTGGATACAAAAGTGCATGCAAATTAACTTAAATGGGATCCAGTATGTAAATGACCAAAGAAAATATCTAATCTCTAAATGGCAAAAAAAACCATATTTGCATCACATTTTCTTTCCAAATTTCAAGGATGTACATAAAAAAAAACAGTCTTTTTAGGTTTTAGTTCAGCTGTTTTATTTTTCCAAACCAGTCTTTTCAGGTTTTAGTTAAGCTGGTTTTTTTTTTTTTTTTTACAATATCATACTGTAGCTACACATAGCAGCCGCAAGCACGCAGTAAAAAAACTCTAATTAGTTTCTCATCTGGGCTTTTTGGTAAAATAAAGGAGGCAAACGCTTCCCCCCCCCTCTTTTTCCCCCAATATGGCAGATTGATTCTTCCATAACCATAACCCTTTCTACATGTACATAGTTTTATAGCTACCATTTTGTTAGAAACAAATAAAAAGACAATATTGACAATACATTTACAAAGTATATTGCAAATGAATTAAAAAACATAAAAAATAAAATAACTAGAAGGTGGGGGAAAAAAACAAAAGCAGGCGGGGACGAGAAACTGGTTTATTTTTTTACTTGGCCTAACATTCTCAATTTTTTTTTCAATATTTCTGCAGTGACTTGGTGAATAAAGAACATGACAATACCATGTGCATAATGTACATGTACCATGTGCATCTACAACGGATCACTCGCTGGATGGATACCTAAAAGAGTAATTTCAAGTTAGTTAACAAATTCTCCTTGATAAAAATTAATCATTTCGTCACCGGTTTCACGAAGGGACGGGCATGTGGATTTTGAAGAAAAACCGTTTTCGAGATAATCGCAAGAGAAGTTTCTCCGTTTTTAAAACTGCAAAAAGTGAAACTACTACTTTGCAAAAACTTTATGCAATAAGGAAACCTTGACGTAATTCTTTGATAGGTAAACTTTAACTTGAACCAAGTAATTGTAATTAATAGAGTGGTTAATTAGCCAAAAGTAATTAGTAAAGATGCCCGTCCGTTCGTGAAAGTGAAAATCCAACTGTTCCACAGAGAATGTAACAAAGATGCCTGTCCCTTCGTGAAAAAGAAAATCTCCGTTGACCTACTTTTACCGCCTTTCCGTGCAATACGTTTTGAACGTGTTCACAGGGGCAGGCATGTTCACGTCTCTTCGTGAAATTGCAAAATGTAATTATCGAGATGCCTGCCCCTGACGTCATGAATGTTATTCAGGAATTAATGATGTTTTGCTTACGGAAACATGTCAGAATGCTTAAGTACCATGTTTTAAAGCAAAATAGTGAAAAACACTCGAAATCGAAAAAATTGTCAATTTTGACATTCCATGAAATCGGTGAGATTTTTGCTGCAAATGTTTTAAATACAATGTGTTAGATGTATTTCAACTTACTACAAATGAACACATTTTGGGTTGTAAACCGTTGTATTACAGTTGTACCACATTTTCAATAAAATGCACTGAGCCAAATTTCCATCTTCTTCCAGCAATTTAATGACAGTCCCAGCATATACATAAAATAGGCAAAGGCCTGCGTAGTTTCAAGTTCAATAATAATGGTGTATCCGTCTAGCGAGTGGTCCGTTGGTAATCGTAGATGACTAAGATGCAACTACAAATCATCCCAGCCGTTCTACACAAACATATCACCCTGGCACATCAAGACGAAGTCAAGATGCTGGGCAGTACAACTCTCTCTCTGTGTGTCTATGAGAGACACTGCCAACTGATTGATATCCCAAGACTTGTGAAGATGTCAATATGGCCATATCTGAATAATCCTGAGGTGCCCAAATGGGCAATAAAGCCTGAAATGGGGTCAGTTGGTCCAATATAAACAAGAGAAAAATCTCCTGGTTTTAAGACCAGTGCCCAGTGAAGCAGTTCTAAGTTGGTCTGAGTCACGTACACGATGCCCATTGACATTTTGGTCAAACGTGGGGACAAAATCGTGAATGAATTACACGGAATAAGCATCAACAAGGACTGTGGTGATCGCTCTGTGGGGATCCACGTGTTTAGGAGATTTCGGTGAAGGCTCTTTAGATCCTCTTGCTGTTTATGTACATAAGCACAGGGGCACACAAGAAAGTAACACGTACATGTAGGAAGGGAAGGGACATTAAAACATATTCAATATATTTTTTTAAGAAAACACCTGGCTAAATTTAAAAAAAAAAAAAAAAATTTGCAACAGCCAACCACCACCATCAAATTGCTGCCGCCTTCAAGTTCATCCAATTTTTTTTAATGGGTATTGCCCAAAACACAAGGCTAAGGCCTCGCAAAGGTGTGGGCTACAAACTAGAAAGAACAGAGACAGAAAGAAAGTATCTATTCACATTTCACGAAAGACTTAATGCAGAAAGAAAGCCTGATTCTACCCATAGTACAGAGTTCCAATGATTGAGAGAAGCAGTACGAGGGAATAATCCTTCAGGAATTTTTCCAAGTCCTAGCCTTAGGGAAGAATGTGATACACATCAGATGTACGTGTATGCCGGTAACGGGCAGGGAGGCAAGTCCTATGAGTTGTATTTCTTGCTGCATTTAAGTAGCGCCCCTTCCCCCAACCCCCTTCCCCCCCCCCCCTAATTTCATCAGCTCTGGCCCGAACTCCCCAAACTAAAAACAAAAACCCTCAAGAGAACATTCTCCATTTTCATTCATTCTCCAAATTATGCGGGGAAAACCCCTACGGGTACAGCTGAACAACTTCACTACTAAGCTGATGACGACGTCAGCCACCCCAGATACATAAAATTAATTTGAGAAATTATCGATTGCTCGGGAACAACAAATTCCGACACACTAGGATCAGGCAATAACAACATCAGAATACATGCAGACCTACATGTCATACAAGCACCCCGGTATGTGAGCAGTGGTGATTACGAGAATCTGTGCCTTGGAACAATTTTAATCCTAGCAGAACTGAAGTCTGGTATTATTTCTACAAAAACAAACGATACAAAAGAATACAGCGGAGTCTACACTATTCCAATTCCGTCTGAAAACATGGATGTGAATTTCTTACATTTTCTCCAGTTGTACTTAGTCTGCACTATGATGAAAATTACATGTGTACAGTATGAGTAGGGCAACAGCTTGTGTTTGTGTTTCAATTGTAGCATGTTATTTATTAAGATAGAATTACCCGTGCCGAAAATACTGGCTTAAGGATAAACTGCAGCAAAAAAAGAAAAATTGAGTCTGGTTAAGGATTAAAGGGTCATGCAATGTATTTTTTTAAATGCTATCCTTGAAAATGCACCAAAGGGCAATTCCACGGTTACTCACGTTACATAGAGTTTCCTTGGGCTGTAATTACCTTACTGAAAAGGTTTAATAACTGTTATCCCCATGGTAGATAGAGTAGACCTAGACCTACCTAAGCACCAAAGATGACATCCAGAAAAATGTGTTATGTATGATAAACAAGGCGCACAAAATCGGTTACTCACGTTACGAAAATGTAACGTGAGTAACCATGGAATTGCCCAAAAGGGTATTTTGGTGCCTTTTTGGTTCCTTTTTGGTTTTTATGCTATCAATACCAAATTCCATATTCATGAGCAAAACTGTGATGTCATTCCGGGCAGAAACCTTAATGTGACAGCTATTTCAGCACAAAAAGCTGCTTGATTTTTGGATATTTTGCCGTCGTAAAGTTCCTTTTCTTTGGTGATTCTTTGTTGTGTAATTGTAAGTATATGGCGGTAAGCAAATGATCAACCCTTTTTCACAAAGTATGGTTTCAATGAGCAAATTTTAGGTTCACAATTTGAACAGAAAACCCCTAAACTGAACCGTGTCTTCCTGAAATGGCATCACAGCAACAAGTGTCCTCAGTTGTCCGAAAAAGCATGGACAATTTGAAATGTTTAAAAGAAGTACCCTATTCAATAAAATTAACCAAAAAGGGATGCCAAAATAGTTTTCATGCATTTCAGATGAGTATTAAACATTTAAAATTCCTGAAGTTGTACAAAATGTGTTCCTAAGAAAAATTCATCGCATCAACCCTTTAAGAACTCGCACAACCTCAAGAGAGTTTTAACCAGGTCAACACTGTCTAAGGTGACTTGACTTCATCACCTCTCTAAACCTGACAACCCCCCCCCCCCAGGTAATGAGTTGTCAGTAATGTTCAGTTCTCTTCCCTATCTACATCCACAAGTGCTGAGCCCAGGCCTAAATGTCAACCCTCGAATTCCAATACTCATCATCGTGAGTCACTTTATTCTGATTTGTGCCTGCTTTGTGCCCAGCCAAGGACCCCGCAGTAAAATATGCACACCTTTTGCCAGCGCCGCCCGGGGCACGTTGAATAAAAAGAAGTGTAACTTTATATTCTCATTTATTTAGATGACATGCATTTATTCCTCAGGTTACTGTGCGGGTCTCGGCGCTGTAATTGTCTGGCTTCGTGCGGAGGTGAAGTTGGCATGCTATGGGTGTTATTAGTTTCCAAATGAAGGGATGGTGTTTTTCTCAGTTTTTCAACATAAAAAATGATCATTGACAAGTGCCTAACCCTAACCTTCCCAAATCCTACAAACTCCTCTTTGCAAAACGGAGGAGTTTGCAGGATTGAGGCTGTCTAGGTCTTTGTGTTGTTTATGCTCAGCCGTGCATAAATTTAGGCCTATCTACATTTTGTATATATGTGAAATCCTCTGCACTGCTCCAGGATGTCACTGGCTCTGCCTCAACATATTGACAGTGATTGCTGGAGGATTTTGCAGGATTGAGGCAGTGGTCACCCCTCCAAGGACCACATTCGAGAAACAACGGAGGATTTTGCAGGAGTGAGGCTGTATGCAACATGAACATTATATACAAATGATACGGTACAGAAACATTTTACTCAAGTACAAATATTACAACACAGATTTGAAGGGGCATACTACTTTGCTTGCATATCACCTACACCTACACCTAAAGTGTACCTGAGTATAGGTACTTAAGTATTTAACTGAATGTAGTGAAAGGTTCATGAAAAGACAAGGACTGAGCTAGTGTGTGTGTGTCCTGCTTGATACTCACGTTTCATCGGCACAAGCAAGGCCAAAGTATTCCTTCTCCTTCAGACTGAAGTAGGACACGACTAGATCCAGGAGGTCCCCGGCGAGCAGTTTGGACTGCAGAAAAGAAACAGGACGAGGGGGAAAAGGATCACTGATAAATTCTCATTATTACAACTTGCTAAAAAACAAATGTGACAATTTGCAAGAACTACCTGTACACATACATGTACGCAATTATGTGCTAAGATCATTTCTTGATCCTCCAAAATCCACCACTGTGCAAGAACCAAATGCAACATTCTTTGTGTTTAAAGGTACCGGTACATTACATGTACCGGTAGGAACATTCACTTTTTGAAGCAACAAACTTGATCACAATCTTAACTCTTTCAGTGCCCGCAAAATTTGAAAAGTTTAACCCTAAAGTGCCCAACTTCGAGCGTTTTTGTTAATTGTTCGACATTCTGTAAAAAAAAAAGTAAATAAAGTTTTACCCACTAAATTTGTTGTTGTTGCTCTCTGGTATATCCTTGATATATTGGAAAGTCAAAAGAAGTCACAAACATAGTGATACACCCTGAAACACTGGCCTGAACACAGGGGAATTCCACACTTTTTGCAGAAAATACGAGATTTAGTGCTGCGCCCTCTCGCAAGAACTCGAATGAAAAAATAAATACAGGTCGTACATGCATGAAAATGGTACCATTAGAAAGAGCGAGAGCGCCCCCTTTTGATAACATATTTACTCTACCTCGTACATGTACGAGGTTTGGCAATTTTAAGTACAAACATTACCTCGTACATGTACGAGGTTGGCGCTTTTGTACTAACAAATATACCTCGTACATGTACGAGGTTTGGCAATTTTAAGTACGAACATTACCTCGTACATGTACGAGGTTGGCGCTTTTGTACTAACAAATATACCTCATACATGTACGAGGTTTGGCAATTTTAAGTACGAACATTACCTCGTACATGTACGAGGTTGGCGCTTTTGTACTAACAAATATACCTCATACATGTACGAGGTTTGGCAATTTTAAGTACGAACATTACCTCGTACATGTACGAGGTTGGCGCTTTTGTACTAACAAATATACCTCATACATGTACATGTACGAGTTTGGCACTGAAAGAGTTAAGAAGGGTGCATTATAACGACTATTAACTTGTTGAAGATCCAGCTCAGCATGTACAGGTACATGTATGATGCACATTTTGAGAAAAACAGAGAAAACGTACATGTACATGTATAACATGCACAATTTGTTTGGGTCTCCTAACTGGATTCTGTTGCTGATTTCTATGCACTGCAGGCACATTCCCTTTAACTACCGATACACTGTACATTCAATGACTGTTTTCTTGGGAGTGATACCATTTCAGGTGGAATGACTTCACAGGGTATTTGATACAAGTTCCATCTACACTTTGAGCAAGGATAAAGTTTCTCGTTAAATTGGTCGGTACGTTTCCGGGTTTATTGCAAATGTTCCTACATTTTTATATTTTTTGTACGTACAGTGTACCTTTAAACTTTCAAGGAGCATCAAAATAACTGTGGCTGGGCTCAGTCTGCTTTAATTCTACAAAATCCTGCCAAACCCCGGGAGCCTTTAGGGTTAAAGGTACATGTATGCTACAAAGAACAAAACTTTACTTCAATTGGATCTCCGGCAAACCGTTCAGAGGTTTTTGAAGTGCAATGTACCCATAAAGCAATATTGATTGGGGTTTTCTTTATAGCAATGTGAATTTGTACAAGCGTATCCAAAGGCTTGTACATTTTTCTTTGAAATTTTTTATTGCCAATTTCAAGACCCAATGGTAAGGTGAGATGTGTGTTCTCTATTGAAGTTGAATGGGAATGTGCTGTACGTATGTCCATACATGTACACGTACATGTTGTACTTATGTATTAACTGACAATTACATTTGTCTTTTCATCGCTCTGTCGGATGCAATGTTTTATCACATCGGTTACATATGCCCATGCATTCTTTCAGTAATTCTATCACATAGCACATCCTGAGTAATGTGATAAGGCTTGATGTATATTGAATCGCAGTGTGGAACATCTTCAAAGCACTTGCACTTCTCAAGTACAGTGCACTGAGATAAAACATGATACGCACTATAAATACAACTTTCAATTTTGTCCATAAATCCGTTCTACAAGTAGACACTGAGCTTTTTGTTACCAAGCAACAGTTCATCACATCAGAAGAAAAAAAAATTAAGACTCCTATTCATTTCACAGTTATCCAGGATGAAGCTACTGTTTCACTCTTGTCAGAAATGCACTCTCCTTGAGTTCACTATGGTAATGAATACTAAAACAATGCGGTGGGGCAGGCATTAGGGCAAAGCTATATTCCATACAGGGCTACTGGTAATGGATCCACTGTTCCTGGTATACACACCTGCTAATTAGTAATGGAAATATACAGCTCAGGCTACAGGGCTGCACACTTGTTAAATTCTTGGCAGATTTATGGGATTTTTTTCATTTGCTACAGTACTGGTTCATGGGTCATTCTATAAATTTGGTGTTCACTGTTTTCCTGTCCCTGTTTCATCTGACATCTACGATTTTGTAATTCTAGATGCACTCCTTCATGTATTCTTCCTCCTGAGTCCTGAGTGATTTTGTGAAGCAAATGACCTACCCAAATAAAAATTAGTTTGAAGTCATTGCCCTACAACTTTTCTAGGTAGGTACATGTAGGTAGGAAAAATATTATTATTTTGTAACTGTTGTACATGTATGTTTGTCTGTCCATCCTTTATACTTACTTTGTTTACTTCAGGATAAACATGTACATGTACATGTATACCTAAACAGTATTGTGTTTAATTACCAATTTAATTAAATTAATTGAACAATAACTCACACACACAAAACCACTTTTACGGTATTGGGAAGACTTTTTATTCTAAAAAAATATAAGTGATTTAAAATTTGTTGGCCAAATGTGGCTATAGATATAAAAAAAAAATTGAGGTTGGCAATTTGGCCTTAAAAAATCCAAGCATGTACCGGAAGGTCAGGTTACAGTAAACTCAAATTATTTTTACACCTTAAGTTACAGCTCAGACAACATGCGTTCACGACAACTTTACAATCCATGGTCCCCCCCACATGAAAAATTCTACAATGTATAAAAATACCAAATCAAAACTAAAACTAGTGACAGCTGGCCAACAATTTTTTTAACTTAATTTTAGCCTGTGTGTGAAAGCATTTTCTAAATTCAATTTCACCTAAAATTAGACATCGCAATACACTACCCCTGCAAAAAAAAAAAATACAACAAATGGATCATATGCTAGAGGCACTGTAAAAAATAAAGTAAGAGATCTACATGTACATATCAAAAACTGAAACTGTTATCAAGAATAATGGCGGCCCATCTTTTATGGCGAGAACATGTACGTGCAGCATGGTGGAATCCCTTGGAGCAATCTGTATCAATATTAAAATCTTTCCGAGTTCTCTGAGAGCCGTGAGGCAGTACGTGGTTCACGTGAGAGCGTGTGGCATGCCAGGCTGGCTTGCTAGCAGGGCGAAAGCAAGAAGGGGTAGAATAGAATTTCATCAGATGAATGATATTTCCCCGTGGCTCGTCATATGGTGGTCAAGTACACCTTGAGATGTACAAATGTATGTACATGTGTTGGAGTGCAGTTTTAAGATGAATTTGGGGTCTAATGGGTTACAAGAGGTTGCAATGAAGATGTTTTTGGTCCCGTGCAGTGGGGGCCCTTTGCACACTGTATCAAATCTCTAGGTTGGGTGTGAGTGTTGAACCTCTAGAGCGTTTTGACTGATTGTGTTCATACTCACAATACTTCGAACCAACCCATATTGATAATCAAGCTCAATCATGAACATATACAGTTGAATGTACAATGTACACATACATTGTACGTTAACAACCAATAGGCCATCCTTCTCTTTGAAATTTCATAGGTTTTCGACACGGATCGGGGAGACGCAACGTTCACACTGTTCTTTACACGAACCGGCCACTAGTAAACCGTGTAACATTCAACCCGGCTATGGCCCCTGTGTATCACACAACAAATTCCTAACACGGATCGATTGCATTCGGCATGGCGCTGTGATTATTTTCTTGATCCCATAATGCATTGCGACCCACGCTGCTAACCAACAGGTGTACAGCGTGAATTTACTACTCTGTGAAATACGGACTCGTTGGTACAATTGCGCATTCTTAGGTATGATAAATAACGGTGGGACAGGGATCACGTGAGAGGGTTTGACCAATAATAACATTTAGAAAGGAGTCTGATTTTCATATGACACCACATGTGCAACATATTTCCAAAATGGCTCCGCTCATTCCGTTACACAATTTGTTCTATTTAATGTTGAAAATTTACAAAAAAATTGGTACATTTTGCGTAAATACAAGCCCAGACTTGGCAAAGGATGCTCCATACTCGGAGACGTTTTTGGATGATAATGAGGGAGCGATTGTCTTGTGATCGACTGGTGTTTGTGATGGGGATGATGGGTATGGTGGCAAGGAAATACGTACTGCGTGTCAGATTTTGGGTAGAAGGTCGTGCCTCAACTCAATACGGATCGGCCGAGAGCGAACTCAACTCGGGGCGGTTCACACTATCATTTTCGACACGGTTCACGCCGAAAAATGCAATTTCTGATCCAGATCTAGATTTCTAACCCTGGCAGGGACGAGGGTTAGAAATCTAGATCTGGATCAGAAATTGCATTTTTCCGGCTAGAGCATTCTACCTGGGTCAGAACCGGGTTGAAATTTTAGAAGTGGGAAAAGGGTTGGAAAAAATCTCGGGGTTGGAACTGGTTCCAACCTGGAGAATTTGGACAGTGTGAAAAGGCCTTGAGAAATAGTATTAGTAAACCGGAATGCAAACTGCAGACTGCTAAACTTTAAGCATTATTACGCAGCATCATGGGTTGTGCAGGATATGAGTTTTCCATGACGTCTTTCTTGGAATATCAACTTTCCATAACTCCTTGCAAAATAAAAAATTAAGTGACTGTTCCTTGACTTTCCATGATAGCTTTAAAGGGAATGTACATTATTGGCTTTCGCTGT